GCAATTGCGGATAAGAGTGAGGGGGCGGGCGCGGGCGACGCGGGCGTCGTCGAGCCGGCGGACTTCGTGGCCCCCACCTTCCTTGTCGATGGCGCTCTCCTCCACCTCCTCCTCCTCCTTCTCCTCCTCTTCCTCCTCCTTCTCCTCCTCCTCTTCCTCGTCCTCATCGTCATCGTCATCCTCCTCCTCCACCTCGTCCTCCTCCTCTTCCTCTTCTTCCTCGTCCTCCCTCTCCCCCCCTTTTTTCATCATGGTCCTCCCATTGTCGTCCTCCCCCTCATCGGCCTCCATCATCGTCCTCCCATTGTCGTCCATCATCATCATCCTCCCCATCCTCCCCCTCCTCGTCCTCCTCCTCCCCCTCCTCCCCCTCCTCCCCCTCGTCCTCCTGCTCCTCCTCCTTTTCTTTCTCCACGTTCTCCTTACATCCTCTCTTCTTCCACGTTCTCATCGTCCCCTGTTTACTCATCCTGCCTCCCCCTCCTTTCCCAAGATAACTGCAACGCAATCCTTTTTTCCACTTTATGCTCCCCGCCTTCTCTGATCAAGGCAACTCGCCAGGGCAAAGTTGCTGGACGGGCTGGCGTGGATGTGCGGGGCGTGAAGAGGTCCTTGCGGGCTCAGACTGCATGCAAGAATCCGCCGCCGCGCTTGTGCGGCATTGGTTTGTTCAGTGAACGTGGTTTAGGTCGCGGGTGGGTCGCGGGCTCTCCACCTCCACCTGGAAGGAATGCAAAAGCAGCCCGCCGCAAGCGCCAAAAAAATGGTTCGTACACGGAACGAGGTTTGGGTCGCGGGTGGGCCGCGGGTTCTCCACAGGGAAAGAATGCAAAGGATGCCCGCCGCAGGCGCCGAAAATGTGGTTTGTACCCTGAACGTGGTCGCGGGTGGGCCGCGGGCTCTCCACCTGAAACGAATGCAAAATATGCCCGCCGCAGGCGCCGAAAAATGTGGTTTGTACCCTGAACACGGTTTGGGTCGCGGGTTGGTCGCGAGTTGGTCACGGGATGTGTCGCGGGCTCTCCACTTGGAAGGAATGCAAAAAAGCCCGCCGCAGGCGCCGAAAATTGTGGATTGTACCTTGAACGTGGTTTGGGTCGAAGGTGGGTCGCGGGTGGGTCGCGGGGTGTAAGACGCGGTGGGGGTCGCGGGGTGGGCGCGGGTTGGGTCGCGGTTGGGTCCGGGAGGTCCGGGGTGGGTCCGCGGTGTGGCCGCGGGGGGGGTCCGCGGGGTGGGTCGCGGGTATTGGGTCGCGGGTGGGTCGCGGGTGTGTCGTCGGGGTGGGTCCGCGGGTGGGTCGCGGGGTGGTGCGGGTGGGTTCGCCGGGGTGGGGTCGCGTGTGGTCTCGGTGGGTCGTCGCGTGGTCGCGGGCGTGGTTGCGGGTGGGAACGAAGACAACAAACCAACACAACAACAAACAAACAACAACAAAAATCCTCACCGCGGGAATTCCCACATCAGCCATCGCAACCCAGTGACAATGAATGACCGTTCGGACCCCCTCACTCTGAAAGGGAGGGGGTCTGGACCCTCCAAGACAAGCCATTTCAGACCTCCCCCGTGGGAGAACCCTCCAAAACATCGTCCCCAGACCCCCCAGGCCCTCCAAGATAGCCTGGAAGAGACCCCCCCCGAAATGAGACCCCCCTCCCTTTAGTACGAACTCTGGAGTAATCGCAGGAGAAAGAGCGGCAGAAGGACAAACCGTCGAGCGCCGCTGGCCACACACACACACACACACAGCGGGACGAGAGCGACTGAGGAGGCTCGAAGGAGAGCAAGAGCGGCAGAAAAGCACAGATTTGCCGAGCGCCGAGGGCCGCGCAAACACGGCGGGAGGAGGGCGAGGAGGAGGATCGAGCAAGAGAAGAATACATACTCCAGAGTTCGTACTAAAGGGAGGGGGGTCTCATTTCGGGGGGGGGGGTCTCTTCCAGGCTATCTTGGAGGGCCTGGGGGGGTCTGGGGACGATGTTTTGGCGGGTTCTCCCACGGGGGAGGTCTGAAATGGCTTGTCTTGGAGGGTCCAGACCCCCTCCCTTTTATTACGAAATCTGGAGTACGCGCACTGTTGGTTCGATTCGTGCCGACCGGCGGCGACCCCGCCACCGGCGTACAACGTTGAACGCCACCGGCGATCCAGAGTCGGTCGATGTTGAACCATCTGACGCGCCGGAAACGGCCGATCGTTCGGGGTTGAGTGACCCCCGCGGGCGGTGTCAGAAACCAGCGTCGAAGTCGGCACAGCACACGACACGAACCCGCCGTAAACTTTTGGAGCTCCGCGCGGAATTTCGTGGATCGGCGCTGGGCCCCCCTCCTCAGGAGGGGAAAAACCACACAGACACAATTAATCGTCGATTCCCCAGAAAATATGGCAAAATATGGGAAGTGGTGGGGAAGACAGAAACTCAGAAAATATGGGAGAATATGGGGAATCTTTTTATTTGTGTGTATTCATTTGTGTGCCCCTGGGCCCCTTCACCTCCGCGCGCCACGAAAGAAGGTTCCAGCGCCGATGCAAGAAATCGGCGCGTGCTTCCGATCCTTCACGTGTATGCCGTCGTCTGCGCCCCCGGAGGAGGCCCGCGAAAGCGGGGCCCGCATCGAGTCAGGGCAAGACGGATGCTGCATCTGCGGTGCACCCGTCTGCCCTCCGGGCCTTCTACCAGTGGGGCTGGCGCCGGGCTCCTCTGCCGTTGTCTGCTCCCCTGGAAGGCTTTTTGTTTCTCCTGCAGCGCGGCCACCATCGGTCAGCGGCGTCGAGATCCCCCCACAAGGTGGGCCCCCGCCAGGAGACGGAACGACACAGAAGAACGCTCAGCGGGGATGCCCCAAACATGGGTTTCTGCTCCTCCTCCTCCTCCTCCTCCTCTTCCTGCTCCTCCTCCCCCTCTCTTCCTCCTCCCCCTCCCCCTCCCCCTCTCCTCTTCCTCCTCCCCCTTCCCTCACTCTCCTCATCCCTTCTTTTCCTTCTCCTCCTCCTCCTCCTTGTCCTCCACCTCCGCCCTTTTTTTCCTCCTCCTCCTCCTCCATCTCCTCCTCTCTTCTCCTCCTCTCCTCCTCCTTCTCCTCCTCCTCCTTCTCCTCCGCCTCACTCGTCTTCCTCCTCCCCTGCTCCTCCTCCTCCTCCCCTCCATCTCAACATCCTCCTCCTCCTTCTTTCTTCTCCTCCTCCTCCTATCCTCCTCTCCTCCTCCTCCTCCTCCTCCTCCTCCCAGCCTCTACTCCCTCCTCCTCCTCCTTCCAGTCTCTACTCCCTCCTCCTCCTCCTCCTTCTCCTCCTCTTCCTCCTCCTCCTCCATCTCCTCATCCTCCAATCCTTTTCCTTACCTATACGACCACCCTGCGGGTGATAAGGAGGTTGGGGGGGTGGAGGGGCCGAGCAATCGGCAACAGTGGTGATTGTTCTCCTGACGATGCCAGTGGAGATTTTTTTCTCGGAGGCCTGCTGAGGCTCCTCTCCCTCCCTTTGTCGGGTTGCACATGGTGCAAATGCAATTGATGAGAACTGCTGCGACAGCGACGGCGGCGGCGTCCTGTCGGCGTATCCCTTTCTATGTAGACGGACCAACTCCAGGGGCCCAGACGCACCAGTTTTTCGATTCGCTTCCAGCCGCGGCGGCGAGCAGGGCCTCCGAGGGCCAGGAAACCTCGACCTAACCTCGGCGCCAATCTCAAAACGGACCCGAGGCCTCTCCCAGGGGCCCGCGCCGGCGTCCTGTCGGCGTATCCCTTTGTATGTACACGGGTCGACTCCAGGGGTCCAGACGCACCAACTCAGACGCACCAATTTTTCGATTCGCTTCCAGCCGCGGCGGCGAGCAGGTCCTCCGAGGGCCAGGAAACCTCGCCCTAACCTCGGCGCCAACCTCAAAACGGGACCGAGACCTCTCCCAGGGGCTCGCGCCGGCGTCCTGTCGGCGTATCCCTTTTTATGTAGACGGCCCACCTCCAGGGGCCGAGACGCACCAGTTTTTCGATTCGCTTCCAGCCGCGGCGGCGAGCGGGGCCTCCGAGGGCCAGGAAACCTCGACCTAACCTCGGCGCCAACATCAAAACGGGACCGGGACCCCTCCCAGGAGCCCGCGCTGGCGTCCTCTCGGCGTATTTTTTTTATGTAGACGGCCCAACTCCACGGGCCCAGACGCACCAGTTTTTCGATTCGCTTCCAGCCGCGGCGGCGAGCAGGGCCTCCGAGGTCCAGGAAACCTCCGCCTAACCCCGCCGCCAACTTCAAAACGGAACCGGGGCCGCTCCCGGAGTCCCGCGCCGGCGTCCTGTCGGCGTATTCTTTTTTATGTAGACAGACCAACTCCAGGGGTCGCTGGCGAAGCCTACGCGCAGCCTGCGCGCGGCCTGGCAAGCGCTGGCAAAGCCTGGCGCAGCCTACGCGAAATCAAAAACTATATCCTTCATGATGCAGGAGCCTGCAAGCGCTGGCAAAGCCTGGCGCAGCCAGGGCCCCCCTTCCATTCACGTCTTGCTCGGCGGCGTGGCCTTGTACGCACGGGATGCGATCCAAATGGCCTCGCTCTCCTCCGCGTTGTAAGTGTGCCATGTCGGCGTGGCCGTGGATATCGCGGGGTTCGCCTGGGCCACCGCGCGGCGCTGGACTCGCTCGACGCCTCGCCCCCAATTCTCCGGAGGCGCGCGCGCGAACGCGCGATGGGGCGCCATCGCGCGAAGCGGCGTGGGCTCGCCATCCGGCCCGAACACCGCGGGGTACAAGTACAGGGTGCGAAGGGCAACACTGGGAAAGCCCGGCGTCTCATCGGCGCCCTGTTTCCTCTCGGCGCACTCCTTGCACGCGTAGTGGCCCCGACCCGCGGTGTCCCGCAAAAGCCGTGGCATCGACGCGACGTTCATGCACGCTGCTCCGGTGCTGGCGTCGACGATCTGCGTGCACTTATACAGGGGGCGCGCGATGACACCCGCCAGCTGGTAGTCGACGCTGACCGCTTGGTCGTTGAGATCGCTTCCCAGAGCGGTGCCGAAAAGCATGTCGAGGAAGCTGGCGTCCCAGTAGAGGAATGACGGTCTGGTGAACTTGGACAACAAGACGTCCCCTGGCAAGGCCTGGGGGACAACGTGATCCAGCCACGGCGGGCGCATGTCCCGAAGCAACACCAACGTCGCGCACTTCGCAGCCTCGTCCAGCAACTCTTGTTTGGTCTTGGAGCTGACGTACGCTGTGGACAAGCCCACCGCCTCTATGTAGTCCTCCACGAGCACCTCGCGGTTGGTCGCCGGGCACGAGTAATCTGCGCGGATGCGGGGCGCCTGGAGGTCGGACCCCGTGAAACCGAAAGCAGCTGCCGACCCGGCTGGCCGAGATGCGCCGGCAAAGCCTGGCGCACTGCTCGCCTTGGTGGAACTGTTCTTGTCCCTCTTCAACGCGACCAGCCGGAGCGTCCTGTAGAAGGCGCAGATGGCCTTGGCCGTGTGCGTCCGGCCCAAGTCCCAGAAGAGCTCCCCCAGCGTCGTGACGGGGCTCTGCCGACACCACTCGTGCGTCTCGACCGCCTCGCACGGAACGCATACCCTGCTCCACTGGCGGGCCCAGGCGGGCATGTAGACCTGTGGGTTGATGTCCTCGCCCTCGTTCACGGCGGCGGCTTCGCGCTGGGCCTGTGCGTCGACGGCTTTGGCGAAGAGCTCGGGCCCGCACCGGCCGTGCTCGCGCCGCCCCTCCGGGCGTCGTCCCACGGTGTAACCGACTTGCACGCGCCGGAATTGTGGATTCTCGAATTGCGCGGCACTGGCAATGCCTGGTGCGACCATGCGAAGGCACCACTGCGTTCTGCACCCGTCCAGCTCCACCACCTCGCCAGAGTGGTGATTGACCAAACCCACCAGCGCTTTCGATGGTCCGTCGTCGTCCCCCAGCTGGTTCGGCGAAAACTTCTGCGCTGCCTTATCCGGGAGCTCCTTGAACAACGTCTGGTAATGCTCCCGCAGCGCGAGCATGCGCAAGCGGCCCCCCCGTGCCTGCGTGTTTGGAGGTGGCCGCGACAGATCCTTGACGCAGAGAGACCTCTTAGACGCCGCATTCAAAAACTCGTTCGGAGTCATGGGCACCGCGCCGGCACTGACCAGCTTGACGCACACCAGTTCGCGGCCCAAGAACATGCCCCGCGTGTCCAGGCCACGGGCACATGTCCTCCGACGCTCCTCGTGCTTGTCCCAGGCCTCGCGGCGCATCCTGTCGATGTTGCCCTGCACCTCGGGATCGTCGGGCCCATCGATGACTCGGTGCCGCGCGTGCTCCACACCGCGACTCTTCATAGCACGAACATCGTCCAGGGCGGCGTTGCTGGCCATCGGCCGATCCTGCACAAGCTTCAAAAATCCGGGATGGGAAGAACTTCGGCGCCGAGTGCAGCGCGGACCTCCCTGGACTCACGGGCGGCGGCCGGGTCCCCATCGGGCTTCTCGGCCAGCTCCTCGCGCGGGTCAGCCGCGATGTCGAACTGGCGCACGTCCGCCGCACCCTCTGTCCAATCGGCTTCGGGGTCGAACCCTGGCGGCGTCTTCTCCGCATCCGCCTTGTCCTCGTTCTTCTGCCCCTGGGACGCCGGGCTGGCAAAGCCTGGCCCCGACCCCTGGGCTTCGCCTGCCACCGCTTGCTCCCCGCCCGCTGGCCTCCTTGCCGCCTCCAACTCGGTCCGCATGCGCACGCGCGCATCCTCCGCGATCTCCACGAACCGGTTGAACTCCGCACCTAGCGTCTCGTACTCGGTGCCGTCCAAATCGCGCCCCTCAGGCAAGACGTCCGAGATGCGCTCGATCCCCTTGAGCAGAAGGTCCTGGGCCTTGACCAAAGATGCAATGTTCCCGTCCCGCTCGAACGCTCTCAGCTCCGTGACCCCAGCCTCGCAGTAGTTGAGGCCCTCCGGGCAGGAGGCCTGGCGCGCCCCTCCGCTCACCTGCGCCGCAGGGGCGATCGCGGCACCCCCGGGCGCCGCTTTGCTCTTCTTGGCAGGAGGCCCGGTCGGGCCGCCCTGATTTATTGAAGCCCCCACCCCCGCAGAACTGGCAAAGCCTGGCTCAAGCGGGACCCCGCGGCCACCCTGACTCATTGAGGCCGACTCGGTGGGGCAGGGTTCCACCCGCGCCGCAGAGGCGGTCGCCTGGCCCCCGGGCATCGCGGGAGCGTTCTGGAAAGGATACGGGAACGTTGGCTTGCGACTCGGTGCCTGAGTCGGAGAGCTGGCAAGGCCTGGCGCTGTTGGAAGGCCTGGTGCCTGCGTCGGAGAGCTGGAAGACCCCGCAGGACTGGCAAAGCCTGGCTCAAGCGGGATCCCCTCCAGGCCCTCTGGGAGCACGTCGTCTTCCCAGGTACCGTGTCTCGTCAGGCAGCTCTTGCAGTAGTCGCGGGCATGCTGTGGAAGGAGCTCCTGGCCCTTGACGGCGCGCAAGAGCACGCGCCACGCCGCCGCGTGATGCCGTTTTTTTTTTTGTGGGGGGGTCCTTGAACATCGCTGTCTCAGTGTAAGGGCGCCCCTCCATGTGCTTCATGTGGTTGTTCCGCGTGATCTCGAACTCCAGAGCTACATGGGGCTCGCGGTGCAGGTGGACTTCCAGGTTCTGCTCGAAGACGTGGTCGCCTCGGTTGCCCTGCGAGGTCTTGGAGCTCTTGTCCACGACCTGAGGGTCACCCTCGTAAGCAATCCCGGGGAACCCCATATGGCCTCCACTATGGTGCAAGATAACCGGAGATGGCTCAAGATGCCTCCTCCCGCGGAGGCCCCCGAAGACCCCCGAAATCCCAAATGGCCAACCCAAACGCCGAGTGGCCACAAACATCTTTGGAAGCACAGAGACTTTCAGCACGCTTGGTGCTGCCGGCAAGTTCGTCTTGAACTCCTCTCGAGTCAGCAGGCGCTGAGGATGGAGTTCCACCATGCCCGAAAAGGAAGTGCCCTTGTACTCGTATCGTTGCGCGAGTCTGCGCGAGCCCGCGTAGGGTGCCTCTGTCCCTGGGGCTGGCAAAGCCTGGCCCTGGGACACAGGCAGCGCATGTCTGAGCATGCGGGCGGCGGCGGCCATGGCCGCGGGACTGGCCAAAGGTCCGCGGGAACTCTCCGAACACAGAACCGTGATGGGCTGCGGTCTGACGGCGTCAAGGCCGGCACAGCATACAGCGCGGCATGATGATACAACAAGGCCGCGGGAACGATTCAGGAGTTCCCAAGGGAACCTGCAGGGACGTACCGACGCCGACTCCAACAGCGACGGCGAGCGACGACTCCAGGGGCCCGCGCCGGCATCCTGTCGGCGTATCCCTTTTTATGTCGACGGCCCAACTCCAAGGGCCGAGACGCACCAGTTTTTCGATTCGCTTCCAGCCGCGGCGGCGAGCATGGCCTCCGAGGGCCAGGAAACCTCGACCGAACCCCGGCGCCAACCTCAAAACGGAACCGGAACCCCTCCCAGGGGCCCGCGCCGGCGTCCTGTCGGCGTATCCCTTTTTTGTAGACGGCCGAACTCCACGGGCCCAGACGCCCCAGTTTTTCGATTCGCTTCCAGCCGCGGCGGCGAGCCCGCGCGGCCGCCCGAAGGAACGGGGCGCGCTCGGAGAGAGCGGCTGGCAAAGCCTAGCCTGTACTGGTGGGTGCACGGGGCCTCGCCCGCACGCACGGCACGCACGAACACGAAACCGAAATCGATTTCCCGGTAGGGGGGCTCTCCGTTCCACTTCGATCTCACCCCCCAACCTCCGATCACAATCGATCTCACAATCGACGTCGTCATCACCATCATCATCATCATCATCATCAGCATCATCATCATTTATCATCACCATCACCATCATCATCATCATCATCATCATCGCCATCGTCATCATCATCATCATCATCACCGTCATCATCATCACCATCATCATCATCAGAATCATCATCAACATCATCATCGGGACACCGACGGGACACCGACGGGACACCACCGGGACACCACCGGGACACCGGCGGGACACCGCGCGGCCCCGCGCCCCGGTGGAGAATCATTTGGTGCGGCCGCGCCTCAGCCACAGAGGACACCACCGGGACACCGGCGGGACACCGCGCGGCCCCGCGCCCCGGTGGAGAATCATTTGGTCCGGCCGCGCCTCAGCCACAGGAGACTTTTCTTTCGCCCGCCCACGCAGCTTCGCCTCGCCCGCACGCACGGCACGCACGAACACGAAACCGAAATCGATTTCCCGGTAGGGGGGCTCTCCGTTCCACGTCGATCTTACCCCCCAACCTCCGATACATATTTTCTCCGTGTCGCACCCCGAGCCCAGTTTTTAGGGCGGGCTGGGCGTTTCGCCTGAGATTTCCTCACCCTTTAGGACTCTGGAGCTTGCAACAGCTTCACAGATGGAGGGCGGGTGGTTTTCAAGATGTGGTCTTCGCCTTCGCGCCGCGCACATTCGTTTTAAACATTTGCAAGAGCTTCCACGGGTTGAGGGCGGGCCGTTTTCAAAAAGTGTCTCTCGCCTCAGCGCCGCGCACATTCGCTTTCAAAATTTGCAAGAGCTTCAAGGATTGAGGGCGGGTGGTTTTCAAGATGTGGTTATCGCCTTAGCACCGCGCACACTCGTTTTCAACTTGTGCAAGAGCTTCACGGATTGAAGGCGGGTGGTTTTCAAAATGTGGTTCTCGCCTGGGCGCCGCGCACATTCGTGTTCAACCTGTGCAAGAGCTTCACGGATTGAGGGCGCGCCTTTTCCTAAAAGTGGTTCTCGCCTTAGCGCCGCGCACATTCGTTTCCAACACTTGCAAGAGAAATTCACGGATTGAGGGCGGTTTCTTTTCAAAAGATGGCTCTCGTTTGAGCGCCGCGCACATATTTGATACAAGAAAGAGTTTTGCGGATTCCCATGGTCGACGTACCATAAATGACGTTTTGGAAGGATTCACGGCTATGAGGGTGCAGCAGTCATGATGACTCGCGGTGTTGAAGTCCCAGGAATGGCGTTCTGGCACGATTCAGGACAGTGAAGGCGCAGCGTCAAGATTACCGTGGCGTTGGAATACCGAGAACACTATTCTGGCATGCTTCAGTGTCTTCGATTGGTTGCCTTCCAACAAGGCAGGTCCTTCCGTGGAAATGAACCGTTGTAGGGGCCTATGAAGAGGGAGCTTGGGGGAGGGCTTATTCAAACATCGTTGGTGACTCTTGGGTTTACACTGGCCCTCCTCTTTCTCCTCCTCCTCCTCTTCTTTTTATTTTCTTATAACTAACTCCTCCCTGTTGCACTCCGAGGCCAGTCGGAAGGGCGGGCCCCTGAGACTTCCCCGTCATCTATGATCCTGAAGCTCAAAAGTTGGCAGCAGTTTCGCAGATGGCGGGTTGCTTCCAAAATGTGGCTCTTTCTGTAGCGCCCCGCACATTCGCTATAACAAACTGCATGGGTTCCGCGGATTGAGGCTGTTCCTTTTCAAAAGGTAGCTCTCGCCTGGTCCCCGCGCACACTCGTCTTGATAATCTGCAAGTGTTTCACGGATAGCCATGGTATCCCAACATCGCTGATGAGTCTTATGTAGTCTTGGGTTCGCACTGGTCTTCCTCCTCCTCCGCCTTCTCGTCCTCTCCTCTTCCTGCCCCTCCCCGTTCTCATCGGAGTTCCACTCGCATGGGGCTCCACACAGCACAGCACGCACACAACACAGCACAGCACAGCACAGCACAGCACAGCACAGCACAGCACGCACGCACACACGCACACACACACACACACACACACACACACACACACACACGCACACACGCACGCACGCACGCACGCACGCACGCACGCACGCACGCACGCACACACGCACGCACGCACGCACGCACACACTTGTTGGCGCCACGGCCACGCGCGCAGCAGCGCGGCGGAGCCGGGCTGCGGGCCCGACGCGGCGGAGGGCGCGCGGGCGGGCTCGGCCCACCGGGCCCGGCAGCGGGGGCGCACCTTGGGGCCCCCCCCCCAGAGGGAGGCCGCGGCAGCCAAGGGCCGGCGTTATTTAGGGTGAAGACTTGCAGTCCCAGAGATCCAACGTATTGAAAAAATCAAGACGGAGGTTTTTCGCTATTTTCGGCCTCGAGGGGCCCTCGCCGGGCCCCAGGACCGCCAAAAAACAACTCAGGATGAGAAACCGGTCCCGGGGAATGGGTCGAGACTTCTGGGGACCCCGTATTGAAAAAATCACGACGTCGGATCTCTGGGGTTGCATTTCAAGCCGCCGTGGAGCCGTGTGCCAGATCTGGGCAGCGGGGGCCTGCGGGGGGGGGGGCAGCCGCGGGGGGCGGGGGGGGGGGCGGCGGGGCGGCGGGGCCGTGCGGTGGTGCTCGAGCGCGCCAGGGGGGCGGTGAGGCAGCCGCGGTGGGTGGGCAGTTGCGGCGCAGGTCTCGCGAGGGCGGGAGACGGCGCTACACACGCACACACACACACTCACTCACATACTCACTCACTCAGACACTCTCTCACACACACACACACACGCTCACTCACTCAGACACGTACACACACGCACGTGAACATGAGCACGGTTCCACAAGCATCGGATGTTTACCGCACGCGGCTCCGCGCGTATGGGCTTTCACTCGCGCACATACACAACACCCAACACACATTACACACAAACGCACGGCGCCTGCCGCGCAGGTTGACGCAAAAACCAAGTGTCTGGGGCACGGGCGCTATGTAGCGCGGCAGCGCTGTTTGGGTCGGCCCCGTGTTTTGAGCAGGCAGATCGCCCTTCGCTCCCAGCATTTTGCCCCTGGAGCGCCAGCATCCTGGAGGACCGGTCGGGGAACCGCAACCTGCACCCTGGCAGATCAATGCGAATGGGGGAGCGATCAGCCACGCGCAGGGGGTGATGGGGGGAGGGGGGAGGAGCAGGCCTTATCTGCAGATGTAGCTGGGTAGTCGAAGGCCAGACTGTCAGATTGGATTGGGCCCCAAGGGCCAATCTGGCCTGGCCAAGCTGGACGATTTGGGTGATCCGCCAGACCGGATTCGCGTTGGCTCCCTCGCCAGATTGGCCCCGTTTGCCAGATTGGGCCTGCCAGATTGGCTTCGACTACCCAGTGTAGGGCCAGCGGCTTCTAAGAAGCAGTCCCCTTTTTTGCGCGCCGCCAGGACGAGGAGGGGGGGGGGGGCGGGGAGGAGGGCGGAGAAAGGACGGGGGAGGGAGGAGGGCGGAGAGAACCGGGAGAAGGAGCGCGAGCGAGCATGATGATGTTGCTGATGGTGATCATGACGATGGCGGCGACGATGCTGTTGACGATGTTGGTGATCGTGGTGGGGATGATGGTGGTGATGATGGGGATGAGGATGATGATGACCACGGAGACGAGGATTATGACGATACTTATGTCGAGGGTGACGATGAGGATGATGATGATGGTGCTGATTATGATGATCATGACGATCATCATCATCATCATCATCATCATCATCATCATCATCATCATTATCATGATCGAGATGGTGATACTGCTGATGGTGATGATGATGATGATGGTCGTGATGATGCGAATAGTGATGGCGACGGAGATAACGATTATGTTGATTAGTAAAATGATGATGATGGTGGTGGTGGGTGCAGTGGTTGTGGTGGTGATGGTGCTGATGGTGGTGGTGATGATGATGCTGATGTTGATAATCGCGATGATGGTGATGGAGATGTTGATGGTGATGATGATGGTGATGCCGACGGATGGCTATGGCGACGGTGACGATGACGCTTATAATGAGGATGAGGATGAGGGCGAAATGGTGAAGATGTTGAGGCTGATGACGACGATGATGATTATAATGATGGCTGTGAATGATGCTGATGATGATGGTGGTAGTGTTGATGGTGATGCTGATGATGGGGGTGGTGGTGATGATGTTGATGGCGATGATGACGTTGCTGCTGCTGATGGTGAAGAAAATGATGACGATGATGAGTATGAGGATGATGATGATGATGATGATGGTGATGATGGTGGTGATGCTGAGGATGACGATAATGATGGTGAGGATGATGATGATGATGATGATGATCATGACGATCATCATCATCATCATC